GCACTTTGCTTGCTGTGCTGGCCTCTAGATGGTGCTCTGGGCAGGGACCGCTCCTTGGAGACTCGCGGGGCCGCCTCCTCCCCCTCTGAGCTCAGTTCCTGCTGCCGTGCGTCTCCCGGGGCTGGGCTCGCTTGGGTGCCGAGCTCGCCGCCAGCATGTCTTCCAACAACAGCCTGAGCAGCATGCAGCGGCTGGTGGAGCAGCTGAAGCTGGAGGCGGGGATGGAGAGGATCAAGGTGAGAGCCGCAGGCAGGGAGCGGCTTGCCCGCACAGCGGATGGGGAGAGCTGGGCGCTGGTGACTCGCTGCTAAATCGGAGGCCAGGGACCAAGTGGGCGAGGAATGTGGCTCTGTTTGGGGGGGATCCCGTTTTCGGCGGAAGGAGCCAAGTTAGTTGCGCTAGGCTGGGGGTCCAGCCACCCCTCTGCTAGCGCCGACCAGCCGGTGGCCAGATTTCTCCATAGCAGGGGCTTTGTTGTAACAGCCCAGTTTTCCGCACTGGTCACCCCGTGCGAATCTCAGACAGTCGCACCCAGCGGCGAGGAAGGGGTTTTGGCTGCTAAGTCTGCAGAGATGGGGTGAGGAGCCACATATGCAAGCCCCGGCGAGGGGTCAGGAGTTAGAACCCAGGGATGCTGTTGCTCCAGGTACGGGTCTAGGTTCTGGTCGGTACCAGGCTTGGCTCCTTTGGGCGACCCAAACACAGCAGCTGCTCTGTTTAGTTGCCGTGGGCGTGTGCAGAGATCAGTGCTCCCCAGCCTCGCCTCACTGCCAGGCTCTTTGGGGCAGGGCTGGAGGGTTGTGATCAAGGCTTCATGACTTGGGCTGGGTAAAAAAAAAAAACGGGGGCTTCGTACCGCAGTTGTAGGTTCTACCAGTCTGCCCAGGGGTTTGCTGCTTCTGGGCACAGCTTGGTTCCTAGGCTGGTGGGCTGGTCTGTGGCAGGAACCTTCTGATCTGGGATCCTGGGAAATGCTTCAGTGTCTTTCAGCTGTGGTAGCTTTTTGTTTATGTTACAAGAATGCAGCAAACAGCATGAAAGTCTCAACATGCTGAGCAACTCCCATGATTGTGGTTTGCAAGGGGAAAAAAAGCCAGAAGCTGATTGCCCTTTTTAACATTGGCCTAATTTCTGTTGTTCCATAGGATTTGATGTTAAAGAGCAGCCCCTTCCTGAGCCAGCTCAGTAGGTCAGAAGTAGGCAAGGACTAGGCCAAGCCTGAGGGTGGAGGGAAGTGCAAGATTGGAGAAGGCTGGTGGGACTAGAGGTGCTTCAGCAGTGTGTGCAACTTGGGAAGTGCAAGATTGAAGAAGGCTGGGGGGAATAGAGGTGCTTCAGCAGTGTGTGCAACTGACTTTTGTTATCTGCATGGAGCTGGGTCTGAGAGACAGTATTTCTCAGTTTTGGGGACAGGTTCTGAGCCTTGGAGGCAGCATGGGGGGGGGGATGTTTGCTCATCCAGCTCATCAATGTGGCATTTCCCAGGAAAAAAAGGCTATAAAGAATAATGTAGCAGAACCTTGTTAATTCTTTCTGCTGATCCACAAACAAGATAATGTAGGCCTCAAACTTGTTGAGCTCACCTACTTCCAATTAGACTTGCATAGAGAAGTGGTAATGAGGCCTGCCAATTTCTAGATGTATTTGTTTTTATCATTATTTCTTCTATAAAATTCTGCCAACAATAAAAGTGACTCTTTGTAGTGATTATTTTAACATTCCATGTTCTACAGTTGCTTTGTTAAAGGAGAAGTCCAACATTGGTTCAGAGTCTAAAACAATAAAAGTCAAATTAATTTGCATCCAGGATTTTCTTCCTCTCTCATCACTCCAGCCTTACCCTACCTAATTCATAAAACACAGGCTTACCTTGAGATTGGATTTGAATACATCTTCAATACTTTAAATTGTAGACACTAAGCCGACTATTTTATAAATAGAAAAATCTAGTCTTTGTTATTTCTGAATTTGTGTTCATCTGCTTTGGAGTGAAAGCAGCAAATGCATAACTCCCTGACCTGCACAATTACATGAAGAAAGTAGCATGTTTGGTTGACATCTATGCACCATTCTCTCCAATACATTTACTAATAATGCTCATCCATAATTAAAATTAAGCAATATTAGTTAAAATGACAAAGTACCTCTAGCCTGTGATTGAGTAACAGGGATTATAGTTTATCATTCGTTTGCTTGCATGTTCATGCATTACATTTAGGAGTCTGCAGTTAATAACCTGTCAATAAATACAGTAGACTTCCGATAATCCGGCACCTTTTGGACCTACGTGGTGCCGGATTATCAGATTTGCCGGAGAATCGGGAGGTCCAGTACAGCTGTACGGCTTAACAGCTGGCCAGGACACAATCTCCCTCCTTCTCCCCTCCCCTTTCCTCTTCCTGTCTCTCTCCTCCCTGCTGTAACCTGATCCTCCTCCTCCTCCCCTCTCCTTAGCTGAAGCAAAATGCTCTTCTCCATACTGTAACACGATCCCACTCCCCCGCCTAACCTTTTGCTTCATCAGATTAGACTTTTTAATCAACTGGTCAGGAGCGCTTGGCATTTTGATGCTGGAGTATCAGGACTGCTGAACAGTTGGATGCCGGACTATCAGAGTTTTACTGTAGTAGAAATGTGCAGAGTTCTACTGTATTACAGCTAAGGGTACCTAAGCATTTCCATTCTAATGTTCTGTTTTTACTCTCAGTAACATTCACCTGTCAGGCAGAAATTTTCCGTCTTGTTCTTTGTTTGAAGAAGTTTGGGTGGTTTATTGGGATCTCTGATTTTGTTGGACTTTAAAAAAAAAAATCAGACAAAATTTCTCTTAGCGAGATCATTTGATCACAACGCAGTAAAATGTGAGCTTCTTAGCATAAATGAGATGTAGCAACATGCTGGGGGATTTTAAAAGGTGCTGAGCTGGATGCTGTGTTGGAGAACATTGTGCTGTCTTCTGGATGCTCTGAATATGTGAGGAATTATCAGAGGGAAATCTACCCTCTTGATTGCACAACCTGGTAGGGTTGTTGCTCTCCTCTCCAGATGAGTGCCCAGGGAGCAATTTCAGACCAAGCTCCTCCTCTGGGAAAGTGATACCTATGCAAAGGGACCTGCACAAGGGAGTCTGCTAGGCTGAGCACATTTACTGCCATCTGCTGATTAGGGAATGAGGGAGAAATAGAGTACAATTGGTTTACATGGAGAGTGCACAAGCAATAATGGCAGATGGTCAATGAACAGTACTGACCTGTATCATGTAGACTGTTACTGCACAGATGCTGCATGCAAGGTGTGCATCTCCTTTGGATATAGTTATCAATAGCAGCAGGATATGCATGACTGCTTGCTCAGTGGCTGGCTGCAAAGTTTGCCCGGCAAAGTGGTGCTGAGCACTGTACAAACGGGCGTATCCAGGGGACACTTTGCCAATCACTCCACGGCAGAGCACTTTGTAGCCCTGCCCTTATCTTCTGTGCTTTGGTATTGGCATAGGGTACTTAATACTCTTATTAGCTACGTGAGTGCATGGTCACCGAATAGGAAAGGGTCCAGTTTTCATGCTTCTCAGTAGTGACTGGTGGTGCCATCCAGAGACTGGTGTGGCTCAGAAAGGATGGGTCCAGTCCCAGGCAGGGACCAGGAAAGAGACCCCAGTTTAGGCATTCCAGAAGGGGAGGCTGTGCTGTCAGGGAAAATGGCAATTAGCCAGTCTACTTCTACTGTGATGCAGAGTCTCTTCTACTATTGCCTGTTGGTAGAGGCTGCCTCAAGTATCTCTGAGGCTCTGAACATAGCGTGGTGGGATGAGATATTCAGAACAATAAATATTGCGGGGGAGCGGTGGCTGACAACGGACAGAACAAGTAGACCAGGGGTGGCCAACCTGTGGCTCTAGAGCCACCTGTGGCTCTTCTGAAGTTAATATGTGGCTCCTTGCTCAGGCACTGACTCTGGGTCTGCCGCTACAGGTGCCAGCTTTCCAGTGCTCAACTCCTGGCTCCACCTCCTCAAAGCGTATTGCACCCTCACTCCTTCCCTTCCCCACAGAGCCTCCTGAGTGCCGTGAAAAAGCTGATTGCAATGGGCAGAAGGCGAGGGGAAGGAAGAGCAGGCGCTGATCGGTGGGGCTGCTGGTGGGCAAAAGATACTGGAGATGGGAGAGGAGGCACCTGATGGAGACTGCTGACAAATTACTGTAGCTCTTCTGCAATGGACATAGCTAAACTGTGGCTCCTTCTCAGGCTCAGGTTGGCCACACCTGAAGTAGACCCCAAAAAGGGGACTGAGTAAGAGAGTGGAGACACATCACACCACGTGCTTGGGAATGTTGCTGGATCTGACAGTCTGAGATTGGCAGCAACCTCACTGTGCCTCAAGGATGGATGGTCTATTTGTGGCAATTGTGGGTTTGGAAAATGTGAATGCTGGGGTCACTGTCCTCAGTCCAGAAAATAAATCCCCAAATCCCTTCTTTTGGGAGTGCTGGGGCTTCAAAGAGCAGGAGAGCTAGAGTCTGTGAGCACAGATAGCTGCTGCTGCTCTCTTCCTATGTCTTGCCTGATATATTTTCTTGTTTAGCACTTAAGCTCTTTGGGACAGGAAGGATGTTTTCCATGGTGGAAAGCATTGTGTACGTTGCTATGTGATTATTTGTACTAAAGTACACAAGAAAACAGAACTGCTCCGTGATACATTGGGACTGAATTCTGTGGCACTAATACCTTCGTTCTACACGCTGCTGCAGCTCAGCATTGAAAATACTGATGTAAAATAGCCTTTGCCTCCTCAGGGCTTTGGGCATCTGAATCTGCGTTACCTTAATCAGCTTTTTTTGCTTTGGGAGCAGCATTAATGAGTAGATATCAGGGAATGAACTGGTTTCCCCTTTGTAAGGGTGTTTCTTTTTCCTTCTACAGGTCTCTCAGGCAGCCGCAGAACTTCAGCAGTATTGTATGCAGAACGCCTGCAAAGATGCCCTGCTAATATA